TGAACGACGATTTTATTTTATGCACTAGAGCAATAATCCTATTTTATGCAGCTCTCTTATTATTAAAAAGGATGGACGTAGATGGTAGAGTGAAATACGTTGATTTAAAGAGACATGTTTATTGTTCGGTCTCCAGAATATAAGTAAATAATACAATATAAAATAAAATGTAAACTGAAATGCTAACCAAGTAATACGCACCACATGTTGCAGTTAGACAATAAATATCGTCTATCTATACTACACAGCCTAGAACCAGTATAAATACGAAATTTAAAAGCATGACAAGTGAAAATTCCTTTTATAAAAAGGAATTAATAATTTTTTGGAAATTGCCCAGTATCGCCTGTTGCCCTGTCGCGAGCGCTGTCGATATCGGATATTGTGTCAAATTATTTCCGCTTGTTCTTCTTTTGTTCACATTGATTTTCAAGGCGCGGTTTGCGGGACGCGAGTGACGGTTCCCCGCACATCTCCTCCTAAAATGTAGACATTGAAATACCTCGCCTTAATCCAAAATCGATATAAGATATAATTTCATACTCATTACAAATTTCGATGTAAAAAAACTTTTTTAAGCGAAAAAGGGAACTACATACAGTACCCACCTTCTTTTTAATTCTTTTATTAAGAGTTTTGGCTTGGGCACAAGTCCTTTGAGCCATGTCGTAATATTTTTCATTGTGATTCTAATACATTATATTTTCACTTTCTCTTAAATAACGTAGTTCACTTATATGTGTTTTTTAACTAGTCTTAAGCGGCGGGAGTCAATATTTATGTTTTCACTTTTATTTAAATTACATTATCTTCTACCACTTTGATCAAAAACTTTAAATTCGTGGACTTTTTAGGATAAAGTCTTTTGTCATTTGGTTTAAAACAAGGAATATAGTTCTACCTTTCTTCATCACTGTTTCTTTCTTCGTTTTTTCTTCATAATATAGGTACTTAAAAGAAAAATAATCTTTGTAAAATCTATACTCGTAACTTCAAAAGCCCGCCATTTTTCCAGAACCCACCTTGGAATCCTATAGACTCTAGGGATGCAAATTATGATTCTATTTTTATATAACGAGTTTTTGTATCGATTTATTTTAATGCGATTTTACAGCGAATCGATTCGACAGAAAGGCGAAATAAGTAACTAAGCTATAAACATTTTATAATAATGTCATTGCCATAAACTTGATTTACAAATGTTTAGTGGTAAATAGTTTTTACCCTCGATTTCAGGCGTTAAAGGGTTTTATCCAGATTAAAACCCGGTTAACAAAGAATCGGGTTAAAACTCGCTTGGCCATCTCTGCCTTCACATAATTATAAGGTACGTAATACAGGGTGTGAGAATATGGTCTAAAGATATTTCCTCCGAAAACAAAATCAAATAAGTATATTTTTATCTATGAAATAAAGATATATATGATCAAGCAACTTTCATCGAGAATATAATCAGAAATAGAGACGAAATAAGGGCCATCCATCACCGGAAACTAATCAGGTAAATGGGCCTTATATCACTTTTAAATATCAACTCTCGTTTGCACTGAAATCACAAATTAGAAACCTGAAATAGTACAGCGCCAACAACTGACCTGTGTGTACGTATCCGTATATTCCAAAAATATTCTGTATTTATTGTAATAAAGATAATATCTCTAACAATGGGGGCTGTTCCATTCGGTAGTGTGGGAAAAATAGCAAAACATCTAATTACAAAACAAACGGAATCACATTTCATTGGTAATTAAATATTAGATATGTAATTTTTAAATTTTCGTCCATTAAGGCAAAGCTCAAGTTAAACTGGTTGATTTGAAGTGAAACAATTGACGACACACCCGTCAATTGTTTCGCATTCGGGCTGGCCAATAGGAGCGCAGTTGTCACCGTAATGATTTGGCAGAATAGTTTTCAAACAAATTAAATGACATTTCGTCTCTATTTTTGGTTATATATTCGATGTGGTCGACCACATTTAAATGGAAGATTGTAGAAATGAGACACCCTCAAAACAGCTCCTTGCATACATTTCATTGTTATTAATGAGGCAGTCGTAATGGTACAGAAGGCTTTTATTGCGCGAGATCGCTCGGCCTTTTGCCAGCTTCGTGGGCATTTTGTTTAGCTATTAGAAAAATTAATGTAGCGCATTTAAGAAAAAATGGAAAAGAAGAAAATTCCATGGTACATCATATGTTTTCTCATTGCTTTAAGTAAGTATATGCCAATTAGAGCTTCGGCAGGTACATGGAATATATGGCCAAAAATGCGGCCAGGAAGCTTAGCATCAGTAGAGCCCCTGTGAAAGAGTTCGTCCTGGGAACCACCACCTGACCTATTTCTGCCGCCAAACATTAATGTGAACATTACTGCGCTCCGATGATGGGACATGTCAACTTATGGCACAGTAGTGTCCCTAAGAACTTTGCGTTTAAAATCGCTGGGTGGCACTGCATCTGTTATGGACAGGCGTGTCGCTTACCACCAAGTGCACGACTTGTTCGTCCCGTCTCATGGTATATTTAAAAAAGGGTGTTCCACCGTTATGTTGTGGATATTCCAAAGGTTCGCACGAAGCGTGACGTTTTCACATTTATATGGCTTGATGACTTCAGAATTTATGGCTTTTCAAGGCGAAAATGAATAGACTTTATTTAGTAGTGCATTCTCCATCGTCGACCTCATCGTCACTATCCATCAGGTGAGATGGACGTCAAATGTCCCTTTATCCATTTGAATTCTATTATTTGCTACGGTCCCATGGGGGATTTATGTGGATTTTTTTTATTGTGGATCTCCTGGGAGATTCATTATATATATGCATTTATCTATCTATATATAAAGGAGTAGGGTCCGGAGAATTTCACTGATAGATGTGCGCACAGCAAAAACTTTATAAGTATTAGAAACAGGAAAACTTTAGGATATATTACTTTTGTTTAGTGTAGGCGTACTAAAACGGATTTTTGGAAATTCGACCCCTAAAGGAGTGAAATGGGAAAATAGTAAAAGATCGACATTTTTCCGAATTTCCCCTAGATTAGGGTAAAATGGGACATTAAAATGTGTATTTGAATTTTATTTACGATATTTTAAATACAAAATAAATAAACACGTGTTTCAGCGTTCAAAACAACCCCTAAATAGTACCCCTATTACATTAGTTATATTAGTTACAGTATAGAAGTATCTTTATAACATTTTTTATAGAAAATCGTATCCCATACATTGCGAACTGGAATATTTTTCATTTGTGTTCTAATAGTACCTATATAATGCTTGTAAAAAATTTACGTGGACGAAGTTAACAACAGCTAGTTATATCATAAAAAAACAATACAGTAATAATAATATTTACAATTCGGTAGCTGCAAAGGTGCCTGACTGAGTTAAAAAAAATCGTAGATTTCTCACAGATGGCGATACGGCAAAAAAGTTGTTAAAAACCACAGTAACAAGGTCATAAGAACATTCACAAGGTCTGCTTATTCGTTTCGTTGGGAATGACGTCAGGCACGGTATGCTGAAGGCGCTGGTTCGACTCCGATTGTGGGAATTTCTCAGTTCTATCTTTGTATTAATAATTATAACAAACTACTGGAGTAATTTCACAAAAAAATGTAATACCATGGTAGTATAACTTAATATGACAATAAGTACAATGTTAACTACGACAAAAAAAGTCGTTAAAAAACAAACAACGATCTGCAAATAGAGAAATTCCTTGGGCTGGTTCGTTCCGTAGTTTAGTTGGGAGAGCGTCGCCTGGTATGCTGAAGACGTTGCTTCGAATCCAGCCGGCTCGAATGTGTTTTTCTGTGTTAGATCTATGTATTAATAATTATAACAAACTATAGTACTGATGGCCGTTTTGACAGATTACAATAGTGAGATGAAGTCTCAATTACTTCTCGAAAAAAATATTTATCAAATAAATGCGAGTCACATCTATAAGTTTTTAGATTTTTGTCTAGTATTGCAATGAAGGGATAGCTGATTAAAAAAATTTAAGAAAAGCAAAATATAGATGTTTATTTATATTTCAATGAACTGAATCAATATCTATTCGAAACTGTTTTTTTTTGTATTGAGCTTTGACGCGAGTTTGCCGGAGGTAGAACTTGTGCTGGCCAGCGATCCCATAAGTGACGATCGTCATTTTTAAAAATTTCGAATTTCGAAAAACAAATGCCGAGTTGTGTCGTAAAATTATAGATTCCATAAATTTTACTGCACGTCACTATTGACAACCATGTACAGCTATCAGCTCCTTCAACGTAGTTATGAATTAATACGAAACTTGACGAGCGGACAAACGTCAAAACGGCCATCACAGCGTGCCGGTACTAGAGTGGAATAATTTCACTAAAAATAATTGAATATCATGGTTGTAAAACAAAGTAGTATCGAGTATATGACCAGAAAGGGAGACGAAATAAGGGCCATATATTCCTGGTAACACATTAGCGATACAGCTCTTGTAAATATCAACTCTTGTTTGCACTGAAATATGGACAGGCCAACTACAGACCTGTGTGTACGTCTCCGTATATTCCAAAAAATATTCTGTTTTTATTATAATAAAGATAATATCTCTAACAATGCCGTTCTGTTATATTCTGTGGTCTGGGAAAAACAGCAAAACATCTAAATACAAAACAAGCGGAATCACATTTCATCTGTAATTAAATATGAAATACGTAATTTAGCAATTTTCGATCATTATAGCAAAGCTCAAGTTAACTGGTCGATTTGAAGTGAAACAGTTGACGACACCCGTCAATTGTTTCGAACTCGGGCTAGCCAATCGGAGCGCAGTTGTCACAGTAATGATATGGCAGAATAGTTTTCAAACAAATTGAATGACATTTCGTCTCTATTTCTGGTTATACACTCGTTGCAAAGTAACATCAATAAACTTATTATAATAAAGTTGTTCACAGGTTTCGTGTTGACACGGTCGACTCTGCTAAAGAAAGATGCTGATGCAGCAGCCCAGTTAATATTAAAGTCCGGTCAAGATGCAATGAAGGATATCAATTCAAGAATAAAGGGAGTACAGTTGACGCGCCTGCTTTCTATGGATCACTTCGCTTGGCAAATTGGTTGGTCGAAAAGTAGATTTCTTTATTATTTATTTACATTGACTTACAAATAAATGGACGACGGGTCTAATACAAAAACCACGAAAAAAATGTCCCAAGTCAACCTATTTAAACGTAGTGACATGTAAAGGAATATGAAAAAGCTAAAACGTTGAATTTAAATTGTGATGTCATCGCAGCAACGAAGACTAAAGCGTGAATGACGCTCTGTATACGATATTAACGCCCTATAAGTTCGGACACTTTTTAGCGCGGAGCCGACGTCCATATAATTGTAAGTCAATGATCGAAGCTAAATATGGTGCATTTTTTAAAATTTCCAGTAGAAACTGAATATGGTGTTTTTGGGCCCTTAAATTGTTGCAAGCAAAATTAGATAGTATTGCAATGAAGTTACAATTTAAATTAAATGTTTAATTTTTTTATATTTCGTTACATGTATAGGTTAACTTCGGACATTTTTTTTCGTGGGTTTTTGTATTAGACCCGACGTCCATTTGTTGATAGGTCAATGGCTTCGATTGAAAATTACTTGAACACAAAAGTAATGGTGTAGCCTTTATCGTAAATATTAATTAATTTTTATATATATTATTATGTCGAATTTTGTACAATTCACTTAAAGAAATAACAAAAAAAATTTGGGCAGATACATGCATACAAATATTCCTACAAATGTGAAAATAAGCATGTACTGTAAGAAATGTACCGATATTCCAACTAAACGTAAACTCAAATATCTGTAATTCCGAAAACCGATTATAATAAAACCGCTACATTTTCGAGTAATTTAGATGCTTTTCACAAAGACAAAATTAGCTTTTGTTTTGTAATCTTCCTAATAAATGCATTTGACATTATGAAAATTTGAGCTAACGTTTTTTCGGGCAAATGTATTTTCTGACTTTTGATAGGTAATCCCAAGCCGTAAAACGAGAACAACAATATTTTGTTAGTTATTGCTAACGTTTAATAAAAAATCATTTTAAAAATAAGATAAAAATCAAAGCGACTCTATAGTTTCTTTGTTCTAAATATTTCAATCGCTTGTAGTTCGAACAATTGAAAATGACCAACAAGTTTATATAAGCTTCTTGAAATTGACGTAATGGGTCTCTATCCATCTTTTACACATGCAATGTGTAGAAAAGGGATAGTTAGCTATTTAATTATTTTCTGTGCTTATGTAATTTATATTTACGATTCATTTCTATATAAACTAAATACTATAAAACTGTAGAAATTAACACTTTTAAACAAAAACTATGATAACACAATATATTTGTTTAGTGAAAATATGACACAAAATCCTGTTTTTACACTTTACTGCAGTAATTTTTATGTTATTATTACATGGTACTGCATGTGTGACAACCGCGCTGTCAGTCGAACAAACGAAAACTGTTGCGCGATTAACGCTCTGTATGCGATTTTAACGCCCTATATGAGCGGACACTTTTTAGCGTGAACCCGACGTCCATTTATTGATAGGTCAATGACATTCAGTGGAACATGTTGAGATACAATTTATAGTCTTAATCTAGAATGTAGACCAAATACAGCGTTATTATGCGAAGTGTAAACATATTTGCATTTCATCATTATCATCATATCAGCTAGAAGACGTCCACTGCTGAACATAGGCCTCCCCCAAAGATTTCCAGACCAGCCGATCGGACGCGACATGCATCCATACCCGCCGCCCTTACCAGGTCATACGTCCATCTAGTAAGGGGCCGTCCCACTAAACGCCTTCCGGTTCGCAGTTTCCATTCGAGAACCTTTCTGCCTTACGGCCTTCAGTTCCACGAGCTATGTGCCCTGCCCACTGCCACTTCAACTTGGTAATCCTTCGAGCTATGTTGGTGACATTCTTCTACGGACCTCCTCATTGAGAAATGCCGAGCATTGCTCGCTGCATAGCTCGTTGAGCGAATTTGAGCTTTTTTATGAGACCCGTAGTAAGTGACCCTTAGAATAATAACGCATAGAATGATAGTTTCATATCAAACGAACTGTCACAAGTGAGGCAAAAATCAAATTCATGTAGGCTAGTTTTAGTAATAGGTTAATTTTCGGTTTTAGTGAATATTTATATAAAAATACAAGTTGAAACGCGTTACTTCCTTGTGGAATGTGATGTTAGTATCTATTTTATGTTTGTCTGACGTATTTTTACACTCATTTACCGCACATTTCGTCATTTTTAGCTAAAATTCTTGATCTGTTCGCGGTGCAAGTTGACCTTGAGCACTGAAGGCCCGCCCGCTCGTGTAGGCTCTTTTGGCGCGCTTCAATTTGCCTCACTTAGCGTGTGCGGACTAGGTTTCTATGCGTTATTATTCTAAGAAGTGACCACGTCTCAGAGCCGTAGGTCATCGCTGGCAATATGCACTGCTCGAAGACTATTGTATTCAAAGACTGCGGTATTACGGTATATTTGCATTTATGGATAACAAAAAAAACAAGGAAAAGTGAGATTACAACTGAAAACGAATGTAACTAAAGACTAACATAGATATTAATTTGGGAGTGCTAATGAGAAGACGAGTTGTGAGAGTCAAATATATAGGAGATTAGTACGAATTCGACAAAGATTGTTGTCGAAAACGTCAATGTCACCTCCAGATTCTGACATGAGTAAATCATTGCAGGTTCGACACATTCTAGTCACGGGGTTTTAAAAGGATGTATTATTTCGATAAACATTTAAGACAAAGGTTTTAGGATTAAAATATCATCATCCGCACTCATCGTTGCTGATATTTATTGCGGATGTTCGAGTTGTGATATGGTTAAAGGCGTGCTGGAATAATTTCCAAGCCATCCAGAAACAGACTGCAAGATTGCAGATTTATTGTTTTTTTAATTAATTGTTTTATTGATAAAAGTCCATAAAATCATTGAAACAAAATTTTATTTCAATACCATACGAAATAGAACGTTATTTCATGTAGACAGGTTCAGTATGTTGAAGTAGAACTCCTTGAGTTCGCTCAGGGAAGTACCACCACGTTACCTATTTCTGCCGCCAAGCGGTAATGTGATCATTACCGTTCCGGTTTTGAAGGGCAAGGTTGCTGGTGAAATTACAGGAACATAGGACTTGCCAACTTACAGGCAGATCTTTAAAGAGATCTTTGCGATTTAAAGCTCTGAGTGGCACTGCTACTGCTATAGACAGTCGCGTCGCTTACCACCAGGGGCACGACTTGTTGGTCCCGTCAGTTAGTATTCTAAAAAAAAAACAACACACACACACACAATATGTCGTGTTCCAATGGTATATCGGTCATGCGTCTTACTGCTGGACACTGGTCTTCTCTCAGGCGAGGGCAGGGCTTCGAAGTGCCTACCGCTCAGTGCAATCATAGGGCTCATTCAGAGTATAGGCGCGAGCGCAGCGGTGGGTGCGGGCGCGCGGGTCTTGGCGTCTTCTCTTTCACAGTGCCGAAGCGAATACGAGCGGGTAGATCCACACGTCGCAATCGCAAACAGACGCTAGACCAACACTGTGCAAAGATCAATACAACCAGAAATAGAGACGAAATAAGGGCCACACATTCCTGGTAACTCATCACTAATCAGTGATACATCACTTATAAATATCAACTCTCATTTGCACTGAACTCACAGGTTAGAAAGCTGAAATAGTACAGCGCCAACGACTGACCTGTGTGTGCGTCTCCTTATATTCCAAAAACATTCTGTATTTATTGTAATAAATATAATATCTCTAACGACGGCGTGCTGTTCCATTCGGTGGTGTGGGGAAAAACAGCAAAACATCTAATTACAAAACAAATGGAATCAAGTTTCATCGTCCATTATAGCAAAGTTCAAGTTAACTGGCCGATTTTAAGTGAAACAATTGACGATACCCGTCAATTGTTTCGAACTCGGGCTGGCCAATCGGAGCGCAGTTGTCACAGTAATCTATTTTTGGTTATATACTCGATGATGTACGTACATTTGATTTACACGCACCCGCGCCCGCCGCCATTCTGAATAAGGCCTCACAAATCTTCATTTATGACCATTCGGTTCCGCACGATTGCACACGGCGCGCAATGTTGTTTTCACCTCTCTAAGCGCGTGTTTAAGTTCTTTTTTCCTCGTAGTGAACTGGTGTTATTAGTCAGATTTAATAGACTATTATAGCGTAGGTACGTAGAGTGACGTAGCTGTTAAGTAATCTCTGGCGAGGGTTTCATGTGGGTTGGTAGCTTAAAAAAAACTTAAAAGCACTTTTTCCGAGTGTTGTAAACCTTCTCCGACGTGCTGTTTCCATCTCGATGTCAAAGTCAAATAATCATTTATTCCATTAGTAAATTTTTTACACTTGAAAACGTCATTTTTTAAGCTTCTGCTTGTTCACTGTCCCTATTTCCCTGAGAAGAACGCGCAAGAAACTCTACGGATTGTTCTTTTCAAACAAACTTAAATGCTATGGAATACACTTTCAATCATATTTGTGTGTAATCTGGACTTATGTTGTCTTTGCATACATCTTTATCTAACACGTAGTCTACAATTTTGTAATATGGCTTTTCAATTAGAATACTTTTAATGTAGCTATTATACTTAGAAAATGGCAATCTTAATAAGCTCCAGAATCTTATTGTAAAAACATATGCAATTCCCCATAAAAGAATCGTTTACCTTGGTTAAACGAAATTGTGACACCATGAGTTTGGACTTAGTTCTAAGGTTAATATTATGGATATCTTCTTTCTTAACGAAATTATGTATATTTTTACGGGCATACAAAATATTTCAGTAAATGTTTTTTCAGTTTTCGATGTATTCCGTGTCCAAACCTCTATTATTATTTCAGGTTACGTAACATTCGAACTTCAAAATAAATATAGAAAAATCATAGACAGATACAATTCATCGCTCGTCATGGACCGTAGATATTTTCTAATGGAGCACATTCTTTTCCTAGTTGAAATGGAGTACGCTTATTGGGAGATAGACCATTACGCGCTGTTACTGCACGAGGTACGTAGACGATCATTTGCAAATCACGTCGTTATGGTCCAATATCCTTTACTTAATGGTGGCACTTCATATGGCTATTTGTAGTTGAGTATTTGATATATTTAGCAAACAATCACCATGTGTATATAGCATGTGTGACAATGTTTTCGCCTTGTTTGCGTATTCGACAAATAGGTATAGCAAACACGATCGAATCACGCACTGGACGGTTTCCTGAAGCACATCAGAAAGGCAAATACCCAAGTGAACCTTTTTTTTAATTAAATAGCCTTGCTCTTCACCATTATCTAGCTCTAAAGCAAAGATTGTATCTGCGATGGAACGAGCACGCCCAGAAGATGCCTATTCAGTCGCACCTTAAAGATAATCGGGTTGTATGTGCTCGGTTGCAGGCAGGGAATTCCATTCCTGGGCTGTGCAATAAAAGATGATGAAAAGCGCTTAGTACGCCTGAAGGGAATATCGACCAAGTAAGGATGATATCTGGCCGTGCGTCTGGATGTCCGATGGTCAAAGATGCGGGCGGGATGAGCTGATTGAACTCATGGGCACACTCACCGAAATATATTCTGTAAAAAACCGATGGGCAACTTTGCGGCGGTGGGCTAAACTATGAACTTTAGATTCAAGCTCATATTCCGCTCAAGAATCAAGAGCTTCAAGTTGATATTCCGCTAAGCCATCCCACAGGTGACTGCACTAGTCCGTGCAAGATCGGACTTGCGCTTTGTATAAAGTTAAGAGTTGTCCAGGCGTGAAATATCACATAACCTTACAAAGGATACTCAGTTTTTTGACTGCAATTTGTGCCTTGCATTCAATATTAGCGCCAAAGTTAAAGGTTGCGCTCAATGTTATGCCAAGGAGAGCAGAGACAGATATACCCCGAAAAGTGGGACCGTCCACACTATGATCGTATTCATTGTTTTAACTCCTTATTTGGCTTCATGTGTTTGCATGTTTGTCCGTACGTCAAATATTTTCCCAAGTACATCAAAGATCCATAGCGAATACAAGTAGCCATGTAAAGTGCGGCCACAAGAAATCACCAACCAATGAAATAGACTCCGTATTGCGTCATAGACAACCAATAAGAAATCGCCAACCAATCGAATGGAAATAAAAAGGAAAGTAAGATTAGAAGAGAAGATAGAAGAAGACGTACACGCAAGTCAGTTGTTGGCGCTGTACTATTTCAGTTTTCTAATTTGTGATGTTAGCGCAAACGAGAGTTGGTATTTAAAAGTGATATAAAGCCCATTTCGTCGCCCTACTTTCTCAAACTCGTATCTCAAAGCAACTGAAATGCTAAAAAGCATTGTATATACAAATTTTGCACGCTAATTTCACTTCAAATTTCCTTCATATTCACACACTGGCTTTTGCCTATTCTTAAAGTAATGCATACAAATTAGCACCCTTGATAAGAAATTTAAAATAAATAGAAACTCTTGCCGTCTCCTGAATAATTACATAAGATACGAGTTTGAGAAAGTAAGGCATTGATTTGTTGCCAGGGAGGCATGGCCCTTATTTCGTCTCTATTACTGGTTATATACTCGATGGATTAGCTAGAGAGAGAACGAGGGCGGGGAAAGGCGTGTTTCAGAAATACACTTTTAGTGCGTCTATAAACCTATCGTTTTATTCTAATTTATTCGCTATGCTAACAAGTGCCTTGTCTTCACTAATATACCTATTCTGTATCGTATACATTTACAGATAGAAGCAAAGTACAAACAAAATGTTTCCGATTGGAACACAACCTACCTTGATGGAACGCCGACGGCGGAGGACTACGAGACACCGGACCCCGACATATTCACTAAAACAAAACCTACGCCTAGGACTAGGCCTTCTACGAGCGATTGGACCTCTACTAGAAGCAGAGAGAGAGGGCGGCTCGGGGAATACGGCTGGGAACCACGTGTTCCTATATAGTAGCTCCATACGACAGTCGAAAGTTATTTACCTACTGCTATACTACATACATCAAGGCGCTATCTGCACACGCACAAATGTGTGCGTGAAGTGGCAGGGTTACCCACTACTTTCTCGTAAGTGGTCAAAGCGGCAACATAGCGTAAATTGTAACGCGAATATCTTATCGATAATTGTATTAATAGAATCGTAATAATTACACATGTTCATTAGGTATTTATATAAATATAATATTATATCTTTCATTCATTCATTAACTAGAATAATCCTGAAGGTATAGTTAAAAAAAAAA